AATATCCAAGTCCTATGCCTTCAGGAGACGCGATGGAAAGGTGCTAAGGCCAGGGAAATCGGGGAAGGTGTCAAACTCTACTACAATGGAGAAGACACCAAGCGGAACGGTGTGGCCATAGCGGTAGCGGAGTCGCTCAAGGACTATGTCTCCGCTGTGAACAGGATCAGCGATCGGATCATGGCTGTGAGGATAGACACGAAGGAGGGGTACTGGACCATACTCTCCGTGTACGCACCGCAAGCCGGATGCCCCGAAAGTGAGGACGAGTTCTATCTGAGCCTTGGACGAAGCCATAAGATCGATTCCGGAAGGTGATTACCTGACCATAGCAGGTGATCTGAATGGTCACGTCGGCAGTGACAGAAGAGGCCTGAAAGGGCACGGAGGTAGAGGGATAGGAACGAGGAACGCTGAGGGAGAGAGGGTTCTGGACCTGGCTACAGCCCACGACTTGGCAGTCTGCAGCACGTTCTTCGCGAAAAGGGAGACTCAAAAGGTAACCTACAGCAGTGGAGGGAGACAGACGGAAATCGACCATGTGCTGGTAAGAAGATCATCCCTCAAAACTGTGAAGGATATCAAAGTTCTACCCGGCGAAGATCTGGCTCCCCAGCACAGGCCCCTCCTGGCAGACATTGCCAGACCTCCCCAAGAAGACAAGGGTAAGAACCGAGAGGAGAATCCGGTGGTGGAAGCTGCACCAAGCGGAGAAGGATGACCTCAGGCGAAAGATAATGGAAGTCGGTCTCCCAGATCCTAACGGGCCAATACAGCGACTTGGGGCAACGCGGCTGAGACCATCCTGCGATGTGCCAAGGAGGTACTGGGCGAGACGCGAGGTGGATTCAGAGGAGACAAGGCAGCGTGGTTCTGGAACGAGGAGGTCCAGCGAGTCGTGAAGCAGAAGAAGGAAGCATACAAGCGCTGGCAGAAGACCCGGAGCCCCGAAGTGCAAGAGACTCGCTAAGTCTGCTGCCGCCAAAGCTAAGAACACGGAGATGGACGTCATATACCAGAAGTTAACTCAGCAAAGACCAGGAAGTTCGTTCAGCTGAGAAACTCCCAGACAGGCGTCGTGCGACCGCAAAGATCAGTCAGGTGGTGCCTGAGGGTAAAAGGCAGCGATGGTGTCATCCTAAGCGAAGCCAGCCGAATCAAAAGAGAAGTGGAGAGAGGAGCATTATCACAGAGCTGTTAAAAAGAAAGGAGCGTCCTCCACAAGACACCACACGGGTGACCGCCAGACCAGCTGGGATTCCCAATCTCGCACTCGTGGATCTGAGAATGAGGTAGCGTGTGGCACTTGGGAAGGCTGAAGTGGAAAGGCGGTTGCCTCAGATGGGTGCCACTGCGAAGCATGTTGGAAGAGTAGCGCATAAGAAGGGTGCCACACCCAGCTCACCTAAACACAGAAGTAAGGTAAGTCGATGGACCGATCATGACGGACAGTATAACTTCGTATAGCATACATTATACGAAGCGACTCACTTAGAAGGGCGACGCGATGGACTGCTCCAACTACCGCGGGATCAAGTTGACTGCGCATACCATGTACGAGCGGCTGGTCGACTCGAAGCTGCGGGAGCTGGTCCCGATCTCCCAGGAACAGTTCGGGTTCATGCCCGAAAGATCTACAACGGATGCCATCTTCATCGCAAGGCAAGTGATGGAAAAGTATCGAGAAAAGCGCCGACCCTGCTACCTAGCCTTCCTCGACCTGGAGAAGGCGTTCGACCGGCTACCGCGAGCAGTACTATGGAGATCGCTCAGGGAACGAAACG